ACTATTCGTTGCTCATATTAGTATGTCGTACACATCAATTGACCCAAATAAAAAAATCTGATAATTTTCAATGAAATTGCAAAGTTATGATAAAAAATAAGGTGTTCTTTTGAAAAGAGACACTCTTAGAAAAGGCCCTCTACTTTCTTAAACTATTATCTTATATCTGACAAATGGTTTCAGAAGCTCATTGATGTTCAATGATCATTGTTTTCAGCAGGTTTCCTTCATGTTCTGAGTTCTAATCAATTTCCAGAACTATTGYCATGGAATGCGCTCGCAAACTGTGGGCTCAAGCTAAGCCAAAAAGTGATTAACCTCACTGCCGATGAGCTAGCAAGTAGTGTACCCTTACTCCGCTCACATCCGAATGGATAGAGTGGGATTCCCGTTGTCAGAACAAGGTATTTTAAGGTAGACATGAAGTTTGCAACAACCAGTAGGCAACGTCGGAGATATTGATCTGAAATTTTGCACACGTCTTTTTCTACTCAAGAAACTACGAAATTTTTGGACCCGCTGATATCGGGGGACTATAGCATACATATACAACATATATGTAGCTGCCATAAACTAAACTCAAGCCCTTGTATGGAAATCTGTTTTATTTTACAAAATATCTGCATGAAATTTGGTATGGATTTTTTTTCGACGTCAATACTTAATCCATGTTGAAATTGTTCAGATTGAATCACTATAACATGTAGCTTTCATACAAACTGAACAAAGAAAATAAAGTACTTGTATGGAAAACTTTTCCATTTTACAAGATATATTCACAAATTTTGGTAAGAATTATTTTTCAAAGCCAGGCTACAACGTCTGAAGAAATTATTCAGATCGGACGACTTTAGCATATAGCTGCCATATTAACTGATCAGCTAAACTCAAGTCCTTATATGGCAAACTTTTCCATTTTACAGGATATCTTTACAAAATTTGGTAAGAATTATTTTTCAAAGCCAGGCTACAACATCTGAAGAAATTATTCAGATCGGACGACTTTAGCATATAGCTGCCATTCTAACTGATCAGCTAAACTCAAGTCCTTATATGGCAAACTTTTCTAAT